GCTTGCCAGGCAGGCGCTTTTGCCGCTGAGCTAAATCCCCAGCCCCACTGTCGCTTCTTTAGAATCCAACTCAGAGCTGGACACAGCCAAGGCACTCACTAAACACCTAGTAAAAGAATGAGTGAAGACAGGAGAGGATGGATGAAAAAATTGAGACAGGAAGCAAGTGGACACCCCACTCTGTCCTGCTCGTGACACTGACAGTGACTAGCACAGGGGCTGCCCCAGAGAGATAGATGCTCAGCTAAGGTGCTATTGAGTGAATAAATGAACAAGTTCAAGGGAGGGAAAAAAGGGAGAAACGATGGGAAGCAAGAAGCTGAAAGAAAAGAGGGAAGAGGAAAATGGAGGAGGAAGAAAAGGTGGAGGGAGAAAGAGAGAGAAGGTCAAGGAAAAAGAAAAGGAAGTGGAGGGAAGCTCCCTGTTTAACTCTGTCCAGCAGATGAGTGACTCGCGACCTCTGGTGGCAAAAAAGTCAGTTCTTTGGAGTTGCTATGCCCCAAGTTAAAGTCACAGGAGGAAATTTCCAAGAAGTCAGGGGCCAACCCTTGTAGGAACACTGACTTCTACATGAAGGCCGCAGCGCTCAGTAACATCTTGGCTCAACTAGGGAGGGGCAAGAGAGGGATTTGCCTAGAGTGCAAATTTAAGCAGGGAGGGGTGCCAATAACTCAATAACCAACACAAACATTTCATGTAATTCTAAATATTGAACTGGCAAACTATGATTTACAGGCTAGCTGCTTGTTATTGTAAATAACAGAATCAGGATTAGGTTTTCTTCTCTTAATTAGAAGGTAATAACAAGCTGCGCGTGGTAGTGCTCGCCTGTAATCCCAGCACTCAGGAGGCTGAGGCAGGAGGATCATTGTGAGTTCAAGGCAAGCCTGAGCTACAAGGTGAGCTCAAAGCCAACCTGAACTGCATAGCGAGACCCTGTCTCAAAAAAGACAAAAATAAATAAATAAAAGTCAGAATAAAAATACAGAGCAACATAACAATGTTATCTAAATTTCAGTTGTCTGAGAAGCCTGCTTTTTTAAAAAAGAGAAACTGGGTTGGAACTGCACTTTTCATCTGTACTGTGACCCTCAAAAAGCAATATATTTTGTAACAAACCCACTACATATCTACAAGGGGGTGTTCAAACTAGATAGTGAATGTTTAAAATTTTTATTATAGTGAGCCATTGCCATTAATTCCCCTCAAAATGTTCCCCATCACAAATTTGTGTCACTTTCTTAAGCAGCCTGGACGTCCTCTTTCATATCTTTACAATGTATGACCAAACATACACTGACTACTGCTGCCAAGTGCCATCCAGGGGAAAGGCAGGCTCAGAAAAAATTATGGCTGTGTCCTCATCCACTTTATTCAGCAGATCCGGCACCATGCGACTTCTGGCCTTTCTCCAAAGTCAACATGATCATGAAAGGTAAACACTGACATGGCAGCCATGCATGCAACTAGACACTGATGAAAGGAGACTTTCAGAACTGCTTTAGAAAGTGGCAAGAACAACAGGGTAAGTGTGTGGAAGACAGTGGAAATGTTTTAAGAAGGATTAATGGCAATGTATCTTTTTACTTTAATAGGTTTTTTTGTTCTTGTTGGTTTTGGTTTCTTGGGACAGGATCTCATTATGTAACTCAGGAGAGCCCTGAACTCACTATGTAGCCCAGGCTGGCCTTCAACTCACAGCAATCCTCCTGCCTCAGCCTCCCAAGTGCTGGGATTACAGGTGTGTGCCACCATGCCCAGCTTTAATAGTTTAACCTCTTCTATATTTTTAATCAGACCCTTTACAAGTTTCATAAAATACAGATATTTTCTAGATTTTCTTTTTTTTTTTTTGGTACCAGCAATCAAACTCAGAACCTTGCGCTTGCCAGGCTGGTGCTTGTGCTGCTGTGCTATATCCCTGGCCCTCATTTTTAAAATGTTAGTTATGTCTCCCAAAACTGGTTTCAATCAAATGTATCATGTACACTACAAAAAAATACAGAGTGAAAGGACTAATAAAAATATGAGAAAGCCTGCCCTAGATTCCTTTAAGTCCCCAATTCTGCCTAGAACATGTCTTATTTGCACAGAAAACTCTTGACAACAGTGAACTGCGCGGATTATGACACTTTGGCATCATCACAGACCACTTAAAAATATAGCCGCTCCTTTATTTAGTTACATGTCTTCAAATTTACTCAGAAAAAAGCCTCACTACATGTGATTGTCACGCACATTCTTCTACCCAACCATGGTCCTCTTTCTTCCTCTCAAGCGCACTTCGTCTAATTTTTTTAGCACTGGCTTGGATTTTTTGGAGGAGGTAGAGTAGCTTTTCAAAAAGGCTTCAAACACAGTCTCAGTCTTGGGGTGGGTACTGAGGAAGGCTTTCTCTAGGACATACAGATCTACTCCCTTATCTTCTGGAAGTCCTGAGATGAAACTCAGCCCAAAGTCTATGAGCACAATGTTCAGATGTTCCAGAGGGGGCTTCAAGAGCATGTTGGAGGTGGTGAGGTCACCATGAATCAGGTCTTCGTCGTGCATTCTAGCCAAAACCTGCCCAATTCTCTTGGCTAAGCCCAAGAGGCTTTGGGGAGTTTTTTCAGTCTCCATAGTGGATTGAATATAATCTCGAACAGTCAGCGCACCTTCAATTTCTTCCATATATAAGCAGTTAGAGGCATAGTCCACAAAAAAGACAACTGGTGCAGATATCCCTGCAATCAACACATAAGTGGTTATTAGGCCAAATTCTTCTTTTCAAAGGTAGGTTTAATAATCAAAGATTGAACCACTATTTCAGCAGACACTACTTACTTCAGAAAAGATTTAGGAATGTTTCAGAAAATGGTCTAACTTCTCTGGACATTTCCCTTGCCCAAACTGTGCAACCCTGAGACCAGCTGACTAAATTTAAAGTCCCCAAACCTTCCTTCTCTTTTCCTGAACCTTTTATGACTAGACTCTGTCATATTTACTCCCTAAAACACAAAACAAAAGAAAGCCAGAGGAGAAGCATCACCCAATCAGAGGAGTTCCTACCTGACAGGGTCACTATCAGGAGGCCAAGCAGCATATTGGCTTACAGATTCACCTTTCTACTCAGAAAGGATGAGGTTCAAAATCCCAGCTCCTTTCCTTACTAGTAGTAACTTTAAAGTACATTAATTTCTCTAAGCCTCAGTTTCTGCTACTGCTACATGAGAATTTCTCCAATACACCTAATGAATCTTTACTGAATGTCAACCAGGTCCAGGACACTTTTCTAGAAACTAGAGACACATTAATGAGGATACAGCAAGAAACAAAGGAGCCACTTTGTACAACAGAGAAAGTAAAAAAAACAAGAAAACCTTAACACACAAATAACTCTGTTAAATCTTCACTTAATCTCTGCAAGGGTAGTGATGAATCTGTTTGTACACTATTGGATTTCCCAAAATACCGCACCAGCTAACAATGTCCTGCTGCACAGAGGCCCACCCCCGCCTCAGCAAAAGAAAACCTAATTTTCAAAAAGGCAAGAAGTGTACAGCAAAAAGCTAATGCCTCAGTTAGAAGGACGATGGGCCCCTTACTTGTTGAGTAACCCTGGGCAAATTACTTCTCCTAATTGTGCATTAGTGTGACAGGGTTTCTGGTGACAGACCGTAAAGATGTTTTAATGAAAAATAAATGACTTAATGAAATATGACATTTACTGAATGCTATGTGCCAGGATACATTCAAACACAGTACTGGGTCCATATATCTAATGGTCTCAACATCTCTAAGATAGATACCTCTACTATGACTTCCTTTACTGGTAAGGAAACGAGGCATACAGGTTAAACAACTTTTTGAAAAGCTATATATGGGCTGGGGATTTAGCTCAGTGGCAAAAGTGCCTGCCTGGCAAGCACAAGGTCGTGAGCTCGGTTCCCGGTACGAGAAAAACCAAAAAAAAAAAAAAGAAAGAAAGAAAAAGAAAAGCTATATATGAAGCCAGGCCCGGCCCCAAGGCAGGTACCTATAATTACACCTGCCTCTTTTCTGTGGTTTGTTTTTTGAGACAGGGTCTGGCTATGTAGCACAGGCTGGCCTCAAACTCAGAGTCCTTCTGTATCCTCCTGCCTCAGCCTCCTAAGTGGTGGGAGTACAAGCCTGGGCCACCCCATCCGGCTTATCTGCTTCTTCAAAACTACTCAACGAAGAAATAATGATGGAAAATCGAAACGGTACAAACGGGGAAACGGAAGCTCCGAGAGGTTAAATCCCATGCTCAGCGTCCAGCAATAGCAGAGTTGAGAAATGCCTCTAGGACAAACGCTTGTTGCTGCAAGACCTTGTGGCTTAAGAATTAATGAATTGCGAGGAAGGAAAGGATGACATTTCCCAAAGGAAGGCCAGGGCAGTCGGTACAAACGGAGACACGAAGGCGAACGGAGGCAGGCAGCGCTGCACAGTCCCTCACCGCCGTCTCCCCACCCCTGAGCCTGGGCGCCCCCGCGGCCGGGAGCCGGCCGGCCTCACCGATGCGGCGGCAGCGGAGCAGCGCCCGGGCCTCCTGCACCGTCCGCCGCCGGCTGAGCCGCGCCTCCAGCGCCGGGTGCCGGTAACCCTTGGGGAAGCGGTGCTTCACCACGGCCGCGCGGCCCAGGAAGAGGCCGCGGAACACGCGCGCTTCGGCGCCCTGCTTCACCAGCTCCAGGCCGCTCAGGAAACGGCTGTTTCGCTCTCGGGCTGCAGCCAGCGCCCCGGCCTCCAGCGAGGGACCCTGACTCGCCTCACCCATGACCCAGCACAGACATTCGGTCTCTCCGCTCCTTCGGAAAATTGACCGGGGTGCTTCCGCTCGCTCCGGAAACCCTCCCCCACCTTCCGCCACTCAATTTCTCCCCCGCCGACACTTCCGCCCTGTACAAGTGGTTCCGGCTCCATACCTCTTGACTCTTTTTGAAGTATCCAGTGCATCTCCGGGACGCGTTCTAAAGGTCCATTGGCCAACTCTTCGTCTCGCTCCGTAAATTTTCGGCAGCTCTCGGTAAGCGGCGCTTTCCACACTCCTCGGCTTTCTCCGGAAGCCCTCGGTGAGGATCGCGATGGGCTTTGGAGCTTGTCTGCCAGCGTCTCGCCTCTTTTGAAAGCTTCAGCTTCTCTCCAGGAAAATGTTTAGGAACGCTGTGATCCTTTCAGGAGTCTAGCTTCTGGGAAGTTTCGCCCCTCAACCCCGCAGTCTCATTTTTGGACTCCTCCCGCTTCGACTCCATAGTCCCACCCAGAAGAGTGAACACGCGTCAGAGTCGGGCAGCGCTGCCAATGAACCATTTTTCCAACATCGTCTTAAGATGTTACGATAATATCTACCATTTATTGACTGCATTCAGGAATAGTAAGGTTACAGGTTGAATCGACTTTACAGAAAAGAAAAGACTCAGGGCGGTGGGGCTGATGAGATTGTGGGGGAGGGGAAGAGGGAAAATCAACAGTTTTCCAGAGACAGAACCTATGCTGAATTGGGAGAATTGACTTACTGCTTCTGTATCATTACAAAACTAATACACAAGTTTTTGCAATACAGATGTTTACACGCAAAGTCAAAAGACCGCCTATCCTCACCAATCTGTGCCGCTGCTGACCATTACATAGTTTCTTTGTAGACTTTTTTTCTACGTTGCAAATATACACACGCATGTAGTAGTGGGTTTTCCACCCAACGTAAATGAAATTATAGTGTTCATGCTTTTGCATTCTTGCCTCTAAGTAATTTGTCCTCAACGGTTTTCCACGTTAGTTAGAACTACCGCATTCTTCTATGCAGAAACACAAAACACTTCCTTGTTGCTAGGCCATTATTAAACAGTTTTGTTTCATTTTTAGTTTTGTGTTTTCTCTCACAGACCGCTGCAGATGGCTTACCCAGGCATCTTTGCAAGCCTGGGGGAATGGTTCTGGGAACCTTTTTTCTACAAGTAAGGTTGCTAGGTCACAGCACTTTAAAATCTGACCCATCAGCCAAACTACCCTCCAAACAGTTTGTGTCAGTTTTCACTTCTATCCAAAGTGCACCTCATTTCCTTGTACTTTTGCCCTTGTAGAGTCTCCCGGGTTTTGAGCTCAACCAGGTGGAGGAGTGGGAGGGTGCTTAGAACAAGCAAAGAGAAGAGACCCTGGGCAGGACTGGGGTGGACCAAGACCAGCAGCTTCATGGGGCTGGTGCAACATGGTGCTAGGAACAGTCCGGGAGCTGAAAGGGCAGAGGCAGTAGCCTAGCCCCAAAGGCCTCTTCTTGCTGGAAGGGAGGTGCTGAGAGGCTGGGGTGATAGCTCCAGGCATGGCCCTGTGAAGCCTCCACCTCTGATTGTGGAATAGGCTGCAGGTCTCCAGGCAGAAAAGCCAAGCAGTCTAGGAAAAGAGAGGTGGCTTTAACTTTCAGCCCTGAGCCCTTTCTGAGCCAATAGTCTCTTACCCGCTTCCTGCATGTCAGGCCCAGGTGCCTATTCATTCGTTTATTCACAAATTCAACAGATATTTGCTGAGTGACTATTTTGTATATGCCAGATATTAAGGTCCTGGGGTCACAGTAGTAAATAAAATAAAGGCTTATTTCTATTTTCATGCAGTTTGTATTCTAGTAGGTGGAAAGAGACAATAAACAAATAAATAAGGAGAATATGTAGTTGGCATGGAAATAGTAGGTGGTATGGAAGAAAACAGGCAGAGGAACAGTTAGGATGACATGGTTACTGGTTTGCCAGAGACACTGGCTCTTGATGTAACTATTAACTGCCTCTGCTCCTGACATAACTGTTGATAGCATGCCTTTTCTATTCTTGAAAACATCCTGGTTGTATAATGCATTAACTGGTGACCCCACGCATAGTACAGTGGAAAAGAGGAGCGATACATTTTTAAATAAAGTGGCTGAGAAGGTGTCAGTGGAGAGGTGATATCTGAGCCTGGCATGGTGCTCACACTTGTAATCTTAGCACTCTAGGAGTGGGAGGCGGGAGGCCTGCAGCTTCAAGCCCAGACTGCATAACTCAGTGACTCAGCAAGACCCTATCTCAATATAAAAAAGGGTTGGGGATGTAACACAGGGCGAAGGCCCTGGGTTCAGTCACTAATAGCGCTACAAACACACACACACACACACACCCGTGTGTGCAACATTTGAGTCTGTGAATTGATTCCTGGGGGAAGATCCAAGCAGAGAGAACGGTGAATACAAAGGTTCCAGGAAGAAGCAAGGAATATCAGGCTGTTTAACTTACCTGTGCTTTAATTTCCTCATTTATAAAGTAAGCTAATATTGCCAGACATCGTGGTACGTACCTGTCATCCCAGCATTCTGGGAGGCTGAAGCAGGAGGATTGAAAATTTGAGGTCAACCTAGGCAACTTAGCAACACAGCAAGACCCTGTCAGAAAGTAAAAGATAAAAAAGGCTAGAGATGTGGCTGAGTGTAAAAGCTTTGGATTATGTCCTTATTACTGCAAAAAATAAAGCAAGTTATTATCTATCTTGTAGGGCTTTTGTGAAGATTTAATGAGGAGCCAGGAGTAAAGCACCTAGAAATGTACCAGGCACATGATAAGCACTCCAGAAATGGAAACTATTGTTATTTATGGAGTGTTTAATGCAATAGTGATTATAATTTGATTCCTAGCGTCCAACCACTATTTCTTGTGGGGAAGTGGCTTGCCCCATGTGAGGTGTCCTGAGGGAACACTGAGACCCCCTCCCACTGTAGAAGCGCATTATGTGGCTTGCAACAAGCACCCCCGAGTGAGTATGTTTTGATTACTGTATAGCAGACAGAATAAAGCACTTTAACATAAATAATCTAAAAATAGATGCTTATATATGAGCGTTGTTTCTCTTCTATGTAGCAGTCCACTTCTGCTGCTTCCTTCTCTCAGTCGATTCTATTTGTCCCCTTTCTACTCGGTAAGAAGGGGTATGAGGGCCAGGATGTAGAAAGTTAAGTCATTAAGAGGTTGACCTAAAATTCAAAGGAGCCCTTCCCCTCACATCCTATTGGCCAGAACCCAGACACGTGATGCATAAAGCTGCAAAGGAAGCTGGGGAATGTATTCTTCAGCAGGGCAGCTATGGGCTGTGCTAGAAACTTGGGGTATTAATACTAAAAGGAAGTATGAAAGAAAGGATGTGGGGAGGGACAAGTAGTAGATGTGGAGGGCCACCTGGGCGACTCTCCTTGAAGGAGGAGCAACTTTCTCCATTTTGGCTGAGCCTGACCCTATTTACATGTACTGATATGTACAGAGCTGGCTAGGACTTTTCCTTAGCCCTTTAATTGGCCTTAAGCAATGCAAATGGGTCCAGCAGAGGTGATGATATGTGATCTTGAAGCAAAGACAATAGGGCAGTGTTTCCCTGCCCTCCAGTAGCTCCCAAATAAAACCTGTGTGAGCTGGGGTAAGGCGGGATAGAGAGTCGTGCTCCACACTGTCACTGTGGGCTGGGATTGAGCCTCAAGGTAAGAGGCTTTGACTTCCCAAGGCATAAAAAACTACACATCAGAGCTGAAGCACTGACCCCAAAACATTATAGACTACCTCAGTTGTGTTATGCAGATTATTGTTTCTGCAGATCCTTCTCTCTGCATATTGCAGAGGTGATTTCAGGCCTCCTACCTAGCCCAGCTCAGAGCACTCACCTACTTCCGGCCATTCTCACAGTCACTCATCCTCAAGCCACTCCCTTCTTCACGAATTAATAAAACCCAGGTTCAGCCCTGGTCAAGGCCTTGGTTCTGGTGAGCCATCATCCTGGCTGGACTTAGGACCCCTTGGCTCCCCATAACTACAGATATGCCTTAGTGTCTTTGTTCTCTCCATGGGTTGCACTGGAAGTGGTACACTGGAATTAACTCACTAGAATTCCAGTAACTTTTCTTGTTTTTTTTTTTTTGTTTTTGTTTTTGTCTTTTTGAGACAGGGTCTCGCTATGCAGTTCAGGCTGGCCTTGAGCTCACTTTGTAGCCCAGGCTGGTCTTAAACTCACGCCGATCCTCCTGCCTCAGCCTCCCGAGTTCTAGGATTACAGGCATGCACCACCATGCCCGGCCTCCAACTTTTCCATGGCATTTAAAATATAAACTTCCTGGGCCAAGACTAGGACTGAGAGAGACCCAGAAGGACCCTCTATTAGTAGACTCTACCACAGTTTGATGTTTTAAAGCACAAGTAATTACATATTCTAATCAAGTATTTTAAATAATGTAAACAGTAAATTCATTTATTAGCTCATAACATTTCAAGAGGCAGGGGTCCCAGGTATCGCTCAGGAGCTTTATAACACTAAGGACCCAAGATCCTTTTATCTTTTTGCTCTACCTGCCTCACATGCAGTTCGAATCCTTACTTTTTCACCTTACAGTCACAAGATGGCCACCAAATTCCAGTGAAGATACAAAAGCATGTGCAAAAGAAGAGAGGTGCTACCGCCTGCACACCTCTCTGTATTTGGAAGAAAGCTTGGTTGAAGTCCCTCCTCTTCCCATCAGGACGCCCCTTCAGGACACTGGCCTCAGGTGACCTTTGTGCAGAGGAAACTGACAAGTTTTCTGCTTACATCAGCAGAGAGAGACGTGGGTTGCAAGCCAGGAGAGATGGAGCAGGGCAGAGTTACAGGAGAGGCAGGCCCAAGGCCGGGCACTCTGTGACCCAGCCACCTGCATCCTTTCTTTGAGTTCCACTTTCCCAGTGTTCAGATGCTTGGGGGTGGGGTGAGTGGTGGCATGCACCCGTAGTCCTAGGACTTTGGGAAACCAAGGCAGGAGGATCATAAGTTGAAGTCTAGCCTGGGCAATTTTATAAGACCCCATCTCAATCTGAAGGCCCTGGGATTAATCTCCAG